AAACTAGGGCTGGGCGATAATTCGATAATTATCGCAATATAATTTTCCTCGATAAAACGATATGAAGAGTTCGATAAATGTTCGATATAACGTTTATGCCCCAAAAGCGGAACGAAACAGCGCGACTCATTTGAATCGCGCCACACGGACCATTTATCCGCTCGGACCAATGTTCAAAACGGCCGACAACCACCGAAATCAAAAGCACCCTCAGTTAAAGCTGTATTAATGGCATTTTATTGAATATTTGGCAAACTATCCAGTGTGTTATGGTTTGCGCTCTGGAGATCGATTTCTATGTCAATGTGTATTTGCAGCGTTGAGCATTGTAGCCAATCACAGACATATCTGTTGATTTCTTAAATCAGAGGCGTTTAAGTTAGAATCCACTTACCGCTGAAATCGCCGGAGTTTTTGTTCTGGTATTGTGTTCAGCACGAATCATCTAAATAACGAAAGAATATGTAAAAGTATGGTATTTGGGGTAAAAAGCGCCCCTACTGTTGGGGCTAAATGCGCACAGTAATTAACATGGTAATTAATAGATGGCTGACTTTTCCATTTGCTGACATGGCTTTGTTAGATTCAGATGGTAAATATCATATATTATGTTGGGTGTCCATATTAGAGATAATCACCATGTTTAGAATGAAACCATCATATTTAAAAACATGATATTAATCATATCATATAATAAAATATAATTTGTTGTTACTACTGTAAATATATATTCAATTATTTTTGGATCTCCTTCAATACTTTCAGAATATTTACTTATTAAAATGATTTTGTTTCTGTATTTTAAAATATATTTTTATATTAACATATTTTAATGACTATATATTTATTGAACAAAAATTTATTATTTTATTTTTCAAAATAAGCAGAAAATAGTACAGACTTCGCTAAAGTTATTGTTTTTAACAAGTATTAACTTAGACATTATTTAAAAAACATTATTTTAGCTGAAGTATTTGTATCAATACCGTGTGCCTTTTACCCCATGCTGGTGAGCCTTTTACCCCGTGTGTGGGGTAAAAGGCCCCTCTTGCCACCTCATACATTTATACGATTTTTAAACAAAATAAACAACTTGAATGATTTATTTTCACACAAAATCTGTTGCTCCATTAATGTTCAATACAACATATAT